AGTGTCATTGCTCTGATACGTAACACTCGGGGGGATGAATGCTTGTTGCTTTATTGTTGTGATTACTTCAGTTGTTGAATTTTAAGTTGATTTCGTTAAGTACTTGTTGTTTTAAAAGTTGTTTTCAGTTGTCCAAAGATGTTATGTCATTTAAGTTGAAAATTGTGATTTCACTGCTTAAGTAATAAAGTTGTTTCGTTTTAAAGACTAAACTTGTTATTATTTATTCATCCGATGATTTAAGTGTTATGTATCTGTTTTATATGCGATTAAATGTCGTTGTTATAAGTTGAAAGTGTAGCATTCCATTCGTTTGTTGGAAATTTTATAACTCTGATTTAATTAATATTCGCCGGATAGAAATGAGGTGTTACATTTTACGCGGATCACTAATGACAGATTTTTGAGCGTTAATAGTCATTAAATGGACGGTAAAGATTTGTTAAGGATGGTGCATATAGAAAAAATAATTAATCTAAAATCTCACCTCGATCATGACAGAACATTGAGATAATAAGCATTTTTTAAATTACATTATTTTCACAAAATATTAGAAATACATTGTATGCAACAATATTTAGATGATATCGAGGTCCCATGGAAGATGCTAGCTGATTTTTATTTTCTACACTTGCAATTCATCCAAGAGATATAAAATTTACGGTGGTAAATATCTCCTCTCTTTGGAGCGCCTTTATAATATTAAGGATTAGGGAAAATATGTTTAACGAGTACTTTTATAGTAAAATGTGATTATTATATCCCCTCTATTTATAGTAAAATATATTTAATCTCATGTTTACTATCACCTCAGATAAGGTTAAAAACCAAGGTGATAGTTATTATTCATTTTTTTAATATTACATTATCTACATAGAATATTAAAATTAATTGTTTACAACAAATTTCTTCAATGGTTTTTCGGCACTTGCAATCCATCATAATGATGTTGATGCTTGAATATCAGAACTATGCATCCAAGATTGATCATTGATGTTATCATTATCACTTCTTTCACTAGCATGTACAATGTGCATGCTTTGAATGCATCCAACTTTTAATAAGGGGTTTGTTCAAAAATTTGGAAAATATTTTTTCGCACTTACAATCCATCAGTAAGAACGTTTAGGAATAAATTTTTCAATGTTATCAACCCAAGAAAATCATAGTTGTTTTCTTCGATTTACAACATTGTAAGGTTGTTCAAAACCTTCAACAAAAACAACAACAACAACATCAACACCATTATTTGTGATGAATTACAAAAGTTGAAAAAATGTTTTCTTCAAGGTAGAAGAACATTTTTCCAGTTTTGCAATCCATCCCAAAAAATGATGCATGCGACGGTGGGCGACTACAAGTAAGATAACATTAGGATAAAATCTATTTAACGAATCTTTTTATAGTAAAATATGATTATTTTATCCCTTAATTATCACGGAAACCGAAGGATTAAGTCATTTATTTTAATCAATAGAATCGCTAAACATAAAATCTTAACAATAACCAGATCAACATTAAACATTTTAATTAACATAACAATGACAATAACTAAATTTACTAAGTTCTATCTATGGTTTAATTGCCTTGTTCAATTTGGAGAAGAGATGATGAAGTTCTAAAACTCGTTAATGCAAGAAATATTGTTTTCCAGTTTCATTTATGAAATAAATGACATTTTCAAATTTCAGTTAGAGAAGAAATATAATTATGTTAGTGAATGATGAAGTTTGGAGGTAAATGATAAATTTCATATAGGACATGAAATATTTTATTTATAGAAAAGCGCTGGGAGTCAAACCCATGATTTATGTAACTTTTATCCTCACTTGAGAGTTTCAACCGAGGTGATATGTCATTTATATTTAATTTTAAAAAAAAGACACCACTTTTAGGATAAATAAAGCATAAAGTTGTTGGCGCTGACGTCGAACTCTTGACCTCTGCAACTTTTCCCCGAGATTGGGAGTTCCAAGCAAAGTGAAATGTAATTTGTTTTTAATTGTTTAAAAAAAAAGAACACGCCAAATTTTAAAGGTTTCACATCGGATTTATGTTCAACTGAGGTGAAAATTAACTTGTTAGAAAATCCATATTTTATTGTAGTTTCACAAAGTCATTATGCTTCATCTCTCACAAATACCAAGAGTCATATGAGTGAAGAAAAATAAATGTATATAATTACACACTACTACGAAAAACCCAATTTACAATGGTTGAAATAGGAATACCATCACGCAAGTCATACCGTTGTCAAGTAGCGTGTGATTCTAAGTAGCCATTTTCCACCACAATATGGAAACCGTCATAGAAAGGCAGGACGGGTGCTACTAATCACAACGGCTATCAGTAACAACCGTTGTGATATAGACATATAACTTACATTTGATTATGGTTACTGTAAGTAATCGTTGATGAAAGTCACGAGATTTTATTATATAATATATAGATTGCTTTTTTCCATACACCTTACTAAAGAAATACAAGCATTCAAATTGATGAAGATGTATATAATCTGGAAATTAAACTATTCTTGAAACCCAACTCAAATAAACTACTATTTTCTGAATTGCATGCGTCTCATCATGTATTTCTAGTTCTTTAATATATATAATATGGTTTAATGATGTGACTCTTTCATGGCATCAATTTCTTCTCATCTAGCTTAATTTTAATAACAATAATTTATTTATTAAGTCTACCTCATCATCGTCAATTATCATCTTGATTATTTTGATGACTTATCATCATAACAATTACAATGATTAATGATGATGAGGAGTTAGACTTAGCGTATAAATTATAGTTATTGAAATTAAACTATATGAGAAGATATCGATGTAATACAGGAGCCAAATCATTATACCATATTCTATATATTAAAGAGTTTGCGATGAATGATGAAACAGATGCAATTCGGAAACATTGATTTATATAAATCGGTTTTCAAATACAACTTAATTTTTATATTATAAGTATCTATGTCAATATAAATGAATGTAATTTAAGTGAGGATTATTGAAACAAACAATTTTCATAGAATATAATAAACTCAATTACAACAACAACATAATATATCATTCAGGACATACCTTTTTATTGAAACTAATAATGGAAATTATCCTAGTTTGTGAAGCTATTAAAAATAAATATAAGGAGTAAAAAGTTTAAACAACAACTTCTTAATTCTTATATTTCTTTTCATACGTTCTCAAACTAGATGAAGTTTGCTGCCGCCGTTGTTTCTTCATTTACTAAAATTTTTTATTCTTGTTGAAACCTACAATAACCATAAAAGTTATCAACATGTGTAACATCAAACTTATTTGTCAACAAAGTATGAATTATCTAACAACTTACATCATCAATGGATATACATGAAGTCGTGGAACTGTAATAAAGTACAAGGTGGATGAAGTTTCCTTTGATAAGGTAATGAAGACGGATCTGAAAAATGGAGTACAATCAACAAAAATAACATGCAACAAACGAGAGAATGAGAAACTATCTAACAAGGAGATGGAAGAAGAAACATACGTTGATGTATGAAGCACAAGATCCACGACTAATGGCGAAGAAGAAGGAAAAAATTGGTGCTAGGGTTTCCTTGTGAAGGAAACTGAGGTACTATCTATAAGTGAGAGTTAATTCACTTATATATGAGTAAACTATTTCACAACGATTAACACTATCAACCATAATGATATCCCTTTCATTTGTGAGTTTTAAAATAAATAAAAAGAAAATGTGTGCCTTAACGTTAAAGGAATAAAATATTTTATGGCACTGAGGTTCGAACCCATGAAAGTTTGATTCTATCATCACAGTTGGTAGATCAACCGCTGTTATATACAAATAATTTTTAATCAATAAATAAAATAAATATGTAAGTGACTCATTTTAGAGATGTCACCACGGTGTAGATAAGAACCGTGGTGAACATGGAGTTGTTGAATGCACATTTTGTAGTAGTGTTAGTAGGTTTTCAATAACAATGGTGTGTAAAGTGATGAGTTAGGATTCACACGGGTTGGCTTTGGCAAGATAACTTATATGAAGGTACCATTCATCATTGCTACTCAAGCAAAACAAGTTTTTTTATGTGACAGATTCTTTCGAACTTATCGAGGAGATAGTCAATTGTTCTCCAAGAAAAATATATTCGTCATAATGATGAATTTTGTTTATTTCTTTCACTCGTTCTTATGTAACACAAGCGCCTGCTTCATATGAAGAAGTTGATAGAGATGACGTGCTTGCTATTCATAATGATCATCCAAAAGACATATAGAAAAATTAACAAGTACTTTTAATTCCTTAATCATAGTTTATTCTAAGTTTATTAACAAACACATATTAATATTTGAAATTATAGATGTTTCAAGTCAAGACACCAAGAGACAAAACACCAAGATACTATTATTTGATATAATTATGTGTAAATGGTAAGTTGTTTTGTGCCATTTTGATTTTGATATAATAAAACAAACAATTCCACGAGGGTAGTTTAATCTTTTTTTATAAGTAGAGTGTTATCTAAAATAATAAATGGCAAAAATGCGTTGCACAGTATTAAATCTTGGACCTTTAAATAATTTTACAACGGTTGTTGAATAAAATTGTGGTTATAGATAACACGCTATTTAGTTTATTACAACAGACAATGGATCGTGATTGTAAACGACACACTTACAATTACATCCTACCTCACAATGATTGATCATTCTTAATGGTATTCCTTTCACAACGGTTGTCATATGTGTTTTCCATAGTAACCTATTTTCTTAACAAGTGTGTTGTGTATCATGCCGTGCAAATAACTATTCAAATAAACTATATTATAAATCATGGCTTAGGTTAATGGTCCTCCCTGTGTTTAAATAAAGCCTTGTTTTCCTAATCTAAATAATGCATAAATATAAAAAAGTAACGCCTATAATATAACATAAAATGTAAACGAGCATGAACCAAACTTTATTTAGTTTCAATAATTCACAAAGTTAAAACTGTCTGATGTAATAATGACTATGATAGGGTTGGTTTTCACAGAAAATCCAAAATATCAAAGACAACATTACAGCTGCAGATACCACAAATAATCCCCAGTAAATCCATTTAGTACATTTCTCTAAACTAGGACAATAGTTGTTGTTAATGTCTATAAAAGTTTTCCGAACAAAGGTGCAGTCCATTAAATCAACCAAAAAAGGCCCATAATGATATAAACTGTAGGTCACATTCACCACAGTTGTAAGCTGTTTGTATATGAATGGTGTAATACGACCGGTTGTTCTACAATGATTATCAGATCCAGAAACTTCACAACTATAATTCTTCCACACCTGCATAAACATCGAGTCCAAATTAAAAACGTTAGAAGTGTCGGTACTACAGAGTTATCGACATTTTTCATAATTTTATAATTTTCATAGAATAGTTATTACCTCGATGGCATTTTCGAACCCTACTTCACCAACGGCGCATTGTCGATCTGTAAAATCATTGTTGAATGGGTTGCAGAGAAGAGGCACAAGAGGGCTGGATTGATTGTTAGGGAAGATGTTGTCATTATTCAACACTTTTGAAATCAAACCATTAACTGAGTTAACAAGAATGTATGTTTCAGATTTGCTTTTCAAAAAGGTTTCAAGAGATGTTTCATTATCCACACAGGGAAGAATTTCATCCAAGGCTGTATGGTTTGTTGGATTTAGAGACCATTCGTTCATGGTAACACAGGTATCACCAATCACACTGTAGTTCAAATTATAGGTAAGAAAATATTAGCAATAGAACAGAAATAAAAAAATATGAAAATATTATAAAATAATACATAAACTTTCATTTACATAACATATAAATCGAACGTAAAAGATATGAATAGGAGCAAAATTTTCCATTCTATTTATATATTGATGTCATAAAGATGCACAATTATGTTTGAGATCTAAAATTTCTATCATTTAATTTTTGTGTATTTTTTCCAAGTTTTTTCTATCCTTTTAAAGAATGGAACACATAAAGATATGCCATATATGAACAATCTACTATGCTTCATTGAATTGAAAAAATTATTAATCTGATAGGATGTCCTATTATCTTCGCAGTGCTCTACATATACACTCATTAAAAAAGCTTACAATACATGCAACTCATATATTATTTTGTGGTAAATACAAATAATAATATTTTACATTATATAAATTATTTTTATAAGTCTTATTTTATTCATTTTGCCACATTAAATTTTGTAAAGAAAAAGTAAAAAAGAATCTGTTTGTTATAACTTCAAAAACGTTATTTGTTATTTGTGTTTTTAAAAAATATTGTTTAAAGAAAATAATTTTAAAATAGAAAAAGGTATTTTTAACTCTTTTTAATAAATTTAAATGTTAACTTTGACAGTCAATTACATAAATATACATTATTTAAAATTATAATATAGTCAAAATATATTTGAAAAAACTATATTTTTAAAATAAAGTCAAAAATTACATGATTTTTATAAAAAAGTAAAATAATTTTAAACTTAAGCAAATTTATAAAATTTTAATAGCTAAAGAAAATTACAAAAAATAATAATACTTAAAATAACATTTAAATAAAAATTATTTAAACAAATTTTTAATTTGTAATTTTAAAAAAATAATTATTTATTATTATTTTAAAATGAAAATATATAATATTAAAAAATTAGTTGTAAAATTAATGGCTCTCTTTTGTAAAAATCATTTAATGGAGATGCTTTAATTAGTGTCAAACCTCATTTTGTGTTTTCGATTGAAACAGAAACATTACAGAGTTCTTAACATTTCTCCATTTAACAGAATAAAATAACAAGACAGATATTATAGTACATCCAACATTGAGACAAATATTATAGTAAATTGCACTAGAAATTTAAAAGTAAAATTAGAACTTACTTATGAAGAAAAATAAATCCACCAGATAACATAAATGTTCCTGCAACAATAATCCATCCAGCCACTACTAAACTGTAATCATAAAAAGACATCATTTTCCCACCAAAATCTTGATTGAATTGAACACAAACTCATCAACAACTTTAATATCCAAAAAAAACAAAGAAAAAAAAAATGAAACTTACCTATATAAAATACACTTCAATCCAAGTACTAAAGTAACTGTAAAATAATTTAAAAAAAAAATAATAAATGAAATTAAACTTTGAGAAATCTTAAGAGTGCCAAAAAACAAAAAATATAAAATAAGTTATTAACACCTACATAATCCAATTACTGAGATAATAATCATAGAAGATCCAACGGTAATAAGAGACAATTTTCTACAAAAGGAAAACAACAATTATTGTTAGAGTATATAATTTCAAAAACTGAAATAAAAAAGATTAACCTAAACTTACACTTTATCCAAAACACCATGTAATATTTGTGAATTGTCATGAGTCTTGTTAGAAAGAGCAATTGCAGCATCAAGAATTTTCTTCTTAACAATATCAATGCCCATATCAGCCTCCGGTGGCAATTTAAGTTCATCAGCAATAGTCTTAGCCGAATCGAAAGAGTTTGACACGTTCTTTAAATTTTCAACTGTGAATTCAACTTGGCTCACAATGTAATCTATTGTGTCCGATGTTGTTTCTTGGAATTCTTGTTCATTAGAGTACAAAATTACACATCCACCTCTGGAATAACATAAGCACGCGCGATTAAGGAATCAAAATATACCGATTGAGAAAGATAAAGAGAGATGGAATGAGATTCATACATTACTATAAGGGCGCAAAGGATAAGGAAAATCAATGATATACAATCTGGTTGAGAATATCCATCAGACTCTTTGGGAAAACAACAATAACAACAGCATATGATCTCTAAAATAATCCCAAAAATCATGAGCCATATTACCGCAACAACAAAGAAAGGAACTGCAGTTGAAAGAACAGACTGCACCAAAAAAACACCAGTTATTGCATCATGTGTAGGAACTAATGAATCTGCCTTTCTCTAGCACTAACACCTCTGAATAAAAAACATGTTTTATGTCTGACATGTTTATTGTCGGACATTGACATAATCCTGACGCATGTAATTATATTAAATTAATTATCAGTGTCTCTGTCAGTGTTTTATATAGTTGTATCTTTATCTCGACAATTATTGCATGTGACTCATAAAAATAAATAAATTAAAAGAGTGTAATTCAAATAAAAATGAGAATGAAACGGAAAGGGAGAAACCGTGATATAATCAGAATTGCTGATATTCCAACCACCAGTGTAAACCTCAAAATGATTAAAAAAATCTTGCCTACTCATTCGATGTTGCGCAAGGGTGAGAGTTGTATTGTGCATAACACCTTTGTTGAGTTGTTTATCCCCATCGAGTTTGACACCATCTAGAAACAAAGAATCATAAAAATCAGATCAAAATTATTTAATAAAAGTAAGAAATAAATTGAATGAAAGAAGGAGGGAACCTCGTATAGGGAAGGAATGGAAGGAGTAGAGAAAGAGAAAGAGTGAGAAGAAGAAAATAAGAAAAGAAGAGTTTGATGTAAGACGTAACATGATGATGATTAATGGTGTGAGTTTTGTATAATTTTATAGATGATGAAAAAATTCTATTAGATTTTGTATCACATTATTTGCTTTTAAAAAATAATATTATATATCTTTTGCAATCTAAATGAATTCTTTTTTTAAGTGGTTTTATTTTTTCTTTTGACTATAAAAAGTGATTCATTAAAAATAAGAATGAGATTAAAATTGGAAAAAGGGAAAGGAGAATATTTAATGTTTAAATGTTCATTGTATCTTTACAATAATGAGAACTCAAATAAAAAATCCATTTTTATACACTTTATTATAAAACAATGCCATATAAGTTTGTACTTTATTTATAAAAGCATATACATACATAATGTATTTATGCTTTTTGAGGTGCCTTGTTGTATATATTTTTAATGAGAAATAAACAGAATTATATTGACTTCATGGTTAAGAATTGCATAGTAGAAATATTGAAAAAAATTACTTTTAAAGAGCAAATAAAGAAGATGGAAAGAAAAAGAAAAAAAATACCATTGTAAAGAAATGGTCTTAATGTTTTATAAATACAAAATAAAAATAAAGTCGAAAAAGCTATAACTATATTTATTTCTTTTTTAGAAAATTAATTCTTAACTTAATAATTTTTTAATGAAAAGATTAAAACATATATTATTAAAATAAAAAATGCTCAAAAGTTTGGATAGACTTGACCCAAAAATAAAACAAAATAAAAGAAACATACAAAAAAATATAATAATATAGAATAAATGAATAAAGAATTCAATAAATTACATAAATTTATTATCTCTTAGATATGTTTTTGTTCGTTCAGTAAATATCACTTCTTCCTCCCCGTGGGTCCTATGTGTTGGGTGAGAATATGGTGTAAGAAAATAGTTTAGAGGGGTGAATAGACTTTTAAAACAAATTTAACCAATTTTTCAAAAATAAATTATCAAAGGTTTTCAACATTTACGCGCAGAATTTTTAGAGCGAAAATATGAGATTTATACTTGTATAATAATTATTTCGCCTAAGTACTTAATCAATTTATAATTATCACAGATAATCTAATTATACACGAGATATATGATTGATTCAGTTGAGTAAATCACGATGTGTGTTTATACAACTATTCAATTTTGCAAATTCTAAACTCAACACGTTTTACATACTTTAATCACCATTAAAGCGATTAGGTACCAATTCCAACAAAACATAATCTTAAACAATAAATCGCTACCAATTGAATAGACGATAAACTACTCTAAGAATTGAAAACCTAAGCATGCAATTGTCCTACGAAAATTAAATGCGAGATTAAAAGAGAGAAAGAAGACACCATGATTTAGAGTGCTTCGGGGTTCCTCGTCGCTTTGCCTACATGCACTCTTCAATGGTTTTACATTGGAACATGCATAGCTCCTTTTTATTTTGACAAATATTACAAGAGTTCATACAAACACTTGTCCGCAATAATGATAAAGAAAATAAATCTTCTATCTAGATCTTGAGTTGTGATGACGAGCTATCGGTGCGCGTCATTTAGCAAAAAAATTTGCCGAATTCAGACAAGAATTGAGAAAGTTAGAAGCAATTAAGTGGGAAAAGCTGGAAAACACAATTATGACTAGAGAAAAGCAGTTAGTGTGGAAAATTAGAGAAAAAGAAACAAAAAATTGTTGTTCTTTACAGGAATTCGCACGTGTTGTACCCCAAAATTTGCCCTCTCCTTTCCTCAACATTTCCTCATCACTAGACCCTTGGAGTTCAAGATTAAGTTAGGATTTGCTCTGCTCAAAACTCCTCCTTGCACTGTTGACCCAAATTAGGGTTTGAGTTTGCACAAAGATGTTTTGACCTAAAATGCCCAAAATGACTTTCATGCTTCATGTTGGACTCACAAGTTTATCCATACCAAGTTTCAAGCCTTGATTCCAATCTTTGCCCAGTCAATTGGATAGTTGACCTAGACATCAGCTGTATTGGGGAAAAAGTCAACTGTGGTCAATTGACAGTCAAACCTCATGATTTTTTACCTACATCAACATTATGAACTCATATGAACCATTTGATCAAGTTTGGATCACAATTCCACAAGAAATTTGATCAGATCACCAAAAGGGCAAAATGGTCATTTTTAGGGTTTTGACTGCACAAAGGCAATTTTTGACTGTTTGACCTATCCAATGGCAAACCAAGCTCACATATGGACTCAAGGATTCAATGGCATGGTCTTGACATATTCAACAAGTTCAAAAGATCCCAAATGTACAGGATTGACAAATGAATTTTTCAGTCAATTGATCAAAATTTAACTGTACACTGAAAAGTCAAACTTTGACTTTTTGGTCAAAATCAAGTGCCAAGATTTATTTTTCATCAAGACATGTCAAATTATGAAACTTGTTCATCAAGAAACCAAAAATTACAAATTAGGGTTTAAAATGAAGAAATTTCATAACTTGGAAATTTTCTAAGTTATGAAATTCCCTTATTTTTTCCTAACTTTGTCCCATCTTTTCATCAAGATACATTTGGATTCAAACAAAACTCAAAACATGAAAGTTATAGTCCATTGCAAACTCTATAACTTTGATTCACAAAGTTTCCTCAAAAGAAGCCTGTAGCTCAAGTTATGATTTTTGGAATAAGGGTACAAAACATTCTTAACTTAGAAATTTTTTGACCTATTTTAGGCAGGATTTTTGCCCAACTTCATGGCCACTTTTCACATGCTTCCACTTGGAATTTCAACTTGCATTACAAAGATGGATTGTAGTACACATTCCAAGCTTTCCAAATTGTCCAAGAACATCTCAAACACCCTTGTGGTTAGGGAGAATCGAATTTGTAAAGATGGGCAAAAGTCACTTTGTTCATAAGCCAATTACATGTTCATAACATTGCCATTTTCAAGTCAGCTTGTACAAGCTAGATTACAGGTCTCTAATCCTTCTCACACTCAATAATTCAATGCAAAACCATTTTGCCAAGATGTTATTTTTTTCATTTGGTCATTACATGAAAGATTAACCTTTAAATGGATAAAGCATTTTTGCCATTTTGGAAAAGGTACACTTTATGTCAAATACAAATCCAAGAGGCATGGGCAAAATCTTTAGAGCTAGCATTTTGTACACAAATCACTCTGATCAAGAACAAGAGGTGCAGCATAGTTTAGGGCATTGGACAGGCTGGTATAGAAACTTGTATTTTCTTACTTATCAAAAAAAGAAAACTTGCATTTTGAACAACAACTCACATTCCTGCAAGAACCAACTCAAGCAAACTTTGTGAACACATTTGAGATTCCCTAACTGACCTAGAACACGAGCCCTTGACCCTCAGTACCTCCTCATCCATCAAAGCCCATTTTTTCTGCAAAACAGAGTCTCTGTTGCCGATTGACTTGGCCAGCATCATTCCATCATGCGTTTTCATCCAAACCAGTTCAAATACATTCCCTACCATTCATACAAACTATCCCAAGCCTTGGAAACAGACTGTAACAGCCATAGCCAAGTGTGCCATTTTCACTTTTCTCTCTTGCAGGTTGACTTCCATAGCTTGATTCAGAAGGATTCAAGGCACACCAAGCATAGAGGAAGTATCCTTGGACCTCAGGCAAGCTGTACAAATCCTCAAATTCCATTGAAAGCACCTCCATTGTTGTACACGATTCAAGCTGAACAGGTAAAAGTTTGAACTTTTATCTCTCTATCCGAGCATATCTAGGCTTAGGTTTGTGAAGAAAGTATGTCCTACTCATGGCCCTGAAGCTACCCATATCATTACTTTTCATTTATGTTGTGTGTGCTGAGAGAATTTTGAACCTGAACATTGAACAAAAGTTAGGTCAGGAATTAGGGGAGATGAAATTCTCTCTCATTTCTGAGAGTTAGATCAAGTTCTTTATATGTATGAATTCGTGGTTTGATGCTCTATATTTTTGATGTTATAAGTTTTTGTTAAAAGTCAAAGGATCAAGAGATAGCAGGGATGGAAGAAAACGCGCATTTTTGTGTTTGAAACTAGCTGGAGGTTGAAGACAAGCCTCCTTGGGCTGGGCCTGAGATTGTTCTTCTGTTTGCACCTTCATTTTTCACTTACACCCCCTTGGCCCATTATGTGTTATTTTTATCATTTTTGACTTTTTATTTTTTCCTCTGACTTATTATTTTTTGTCAAAATATAAAAAATATTAAAAACATTTTTCCACCCATTTTTGCATTTTATTTGGATTTTATTTGCTTTATTTGAACTTATACATATAAAATAACATATATACTTTTATTTAAAATATTAAAAAATAATACAAATACATTTATTTTCTGTTATTATTTTATTTTACCTTTTGAAAACATTTTCTTAAAATATACTTTTTTTTTTGTAAATAATAAATTTTTTTTTGTATATATTTAGTATAGTTAATATATAATATAAATACTTATATATTTATTAGAATATTTAGGATAAAAACATAAAAATAATACATTTTTATTTTTATTAATATTTGACCTCAAAAATTACTTTTTACAATATACTTCTTTTTTTATTTATTTTTTGTACATAATTAATAAATATTGTATATAAATAATAAATTCTATTTTTTTACAAAATTAGCGTTTTGTCCTAAACCATGAAAATATCCAAAAATTAACTTTTTTTCTATTATTTTTGTTTCACATGAAAAATACTTTTACATACATAGAAAACCATTTTTGTGCATTTTGCATATTTATTGTGTTTATTCAATTATTGTACAATTAAATAACTTGTATATTCAATTTGGATGTAATAGTTTAGATTTAAATTTCTTGCTAAATATCCCCATTTGAACATTTGTACCCCCATCCCCATGATTATTTTGTAATAATTTAGGACTTTAAATTCCGCATTTTAAAGCTTTCTAAATATGCCATGATAGATTTAGGGTTTGTATGCAAAAATCAAATAACAAATAGCTTGACCTAATTCCAAGACAATAAAGCATGAAAATGGACAACACCAATCAC